GGGAGGGTGGTGTTTGAGGATTGCACACTTGTTGGAGAGAGAGGTGGGCTCAAAACTCCAATTTGGAGACACATGGACCTGACTCTAAAGGCTGGGAGGGGCCAGAAAAGTGAGCCCAGCCTCTCTGGATTTCTTAGACCTCTGCACTTGGCCTTTCCTAAATGGCTCCTGCTGAGGCAAGTCCTCAGTGAGGACCCTGAAGGGAAAGGTATCCTAGCCTGAGGATGTGTGTGTTGAGGACCTGGGGAGAGTGGGTGGCTCCTGCTGCTCAGAAAGACTTACTCACCCACTGCAAGCTTCCAGGAAGAATGCAACATGGTGCGGGAACTCTGGGAAACAGTCTGGCAGTTTCCTATAGTCAAACATCACTTCTCTTATGACCCAGCAATCCCACTTCATTATGTTTGTGCAAGGATATGTATACATGCATTTCTGGCAGCTCTATTCATAACCAGTAAGGAACAAAATGACCCAATCATCTCTCAACGGGGAACACATAAAATGTGGTACATCCTCTGTTGTAATACCATTCAGACAGAAAAAGGAGTCAAACTGTTAATACATGGATGAGTCACAAACGTATTATGCTAAGTAGAGGAAGCTAGACTCAAAAGGATGCACACTATTTGGTTCTCCTTCTGTCACATTCTAGAAAGGGCAGTTATAGGACATAGAGGGAGGGGTTGAGTTCCATAGGGTAGCATGTCAAGATTTAATGGTTATGGGAATAACTTTTGTCTTGATTGTGGTGGTGATTATATGACTATATGTCTTTTTTCCTTGCTATGCAGTTCAGACTGATAGTGATCCTGATTCCTAGTACTGGGATTACAGGCATGCACCACCACACCTGGTTGTGGGACCAGCACAGCGTGCCTGAGGTTCCAGGGCCAGCATGGCATGCAGTACCTGGGATCAAACTCGAGGTCTTGTACTTGCCAAGCAGGCTCTTATGCCACCGAGCTATCTCCACAGCCAGGACTGTATGTCTTTGTTAAGGCTCATAAAACAGTACACCCTGAAGAGCGAGTATCACTGTCTATAAAGAAGATAAAGCCAGGGTGCCATGAAAGGTATGAAGAGGGATTTGTAGAACTCTTGGCCCTTCTATTTGTTTTCACTGTCTTTTTTTATTTTGTAGTAACCAGAAGGTCAAGATCATCACGTGCTTCTATAGTTGATGGACAGCTAACCATAGTACCAGAGGCAGATGACCTTAGTATCTGCCTATTTTAAGAATATATGGGGTTAAAGACTCTCAAAGTTTGATCCTTCAAATAGCATCACCTGGAAACTTGTTAGAAATGTCAATTCTAGGGTACTACCTCACATTTACTAAGTGAAAGATCTATGGTGGAGCCTCACAACCTATAGTTTAACAAGACTTCTTGGGGATTCTGATACATCAATAATGCCAACACTTGTAATTTCAGCCTTCAGGAAAGATTGGATATAGAGAAGCAATATTTAAAGAGGTTTATTCCAAGGGCAAGACTAAAACATTCCTTTGGGTTTTAAGTTATAAATAATGAAAATGCTGATGTGTGAAATCGTGCCTAGTTTGGTTATTGCATATATTGCCAGAAATTTACAGTTGATTCATTCAACCAATTCTTACAGCCACTAGTAACAGTGTTCACGTATAGGATAGGCGTGGATCCAAGTTCCCCTAACAGAATGAAACCTTCTCAAGTTTTGTTCTGTTCATTGCAATCATCACTGGTAATTGGTTGGTTAATCAAAAAACAGTGACAAACAGTAGAATTATAAAACATGATGCAAAAGTGTTTTAGCTTAACACAAAATCTATGAAAGGATATAATTTGCCCATCTTTTGATCTAAAACAGAAAAGCTTTCTTTACGTTGCCAAAATTGCATCCTATCACATCTATAACACACCATTTTATATTTCTCAAACCTTAAATTAGATTACTTAGAAAGCATTCTGAATGCAGAATCCTATTTCTCATTTTCATATTCTTTAAAGTTGCCTCATGCACATTCATACTGTAAGAATTTAATATTAGCTACTCATTCTTATCAAGCTATGCTCAACTTAGTCTGCATAGAAGCAACATTTTTCTTACGGCACTCGCATTTCATCAGTTTTTGTAATACTGCCTTAAATGATGTAATTATAATAACAAGTACAACTGGCATCTACAGGTTTGAGAACCCGCCCAACTGACTATTGGAAAGTACAGCATTCCACCCTCCATGGAACAGAATTGCACAAGCTCATGGTAATTCGGTCTACTAGCTGCCAGAGTGCTCCGCTTTGGGGAACAGTTAGTATTTATTAAAGAATACAGAGTGTTGGTCAATCTAGTCAGTAGATTAAATAGAAGCTGCCAGAACTGTCAGGATTTAAAGGAGCCTGCAGATAATTTATTTAAGATAATCTGGAACAGATGCAAGATCATTTCTATTAAAAACACTTTAACTTACACTTCGGCTTCTCAAATGGAGGCTGTTAGGTTTGGTTACCCTAGGATCCATGTAGCTCACAGAAGTTTACTAGTGGTAATTACCTTTAATTGAGTGCAAGCAAACATTTAGAGGCCTTGTTTGTATTTTTAAAATTCTCCCCACAGAGGCTGTATCAGTTATCTGTTGGCATAATCATGCTGCACAACAAACCAGTCCCAAACTTGACTGAAAGGAATCAAACATTATTTTTCACCAGTCTATGGATTGGCTGGGAGATTCTGCTGATCCAAACCTATCAGGCTGATTTCAGCTGGATTTGCTTATTCGTCTGAGGTCTGTGGTCAGCTGCTAGGTCAGCTAGAGGATGGCTGGTCGCTGATTATTTGGCCAAGACTCTTAGTGTAACATCATTTGATAACTACTACCCAAAAAGTGACTATCTCTGTTTTTGATGAAGTCAAAGCTTTTCAGACCTTAGTGTACATGCAAGTCACCTGGGGACCCTAATTCAGGGGATCTGGGACAAGGGCTTGAGATTTTTAATGTTCATGGAGCCTGCAGGTGATGTCAATATCATTGTTCCTTAGACTACACTTAGAAAAGCAAGGGTCAGAGTATAACAAGACCAAGGCTATGATGGTTGCCTCTGTGTCACTTAGAGTTGAGTCACTTGCTGAAGTTCTTGGGACACTGAGCCAGGTGATCTATCTAGGACAGGGCAGCTCCCTCTCACCTTTGCTGCTGACAATGGCCTTGAGCAGTTTCTGTTCAACTATCTTCCCTAAAGGAGTCTCATATTCTAGTTATGTGGGGTTTTTTAATATATATTTTTTTACAGGGTCTCACTACACAGTTCGGACTCATAATGGTCATGCTGGGGCTCAAACCCTGGGGTCCTGTGCTTGCATTCTCTTGTTATGTTAAGGAAACAAAATTTGTCTTTCAATTGACTCAAAATCGAATCTCTTGTAACCCTATCCACTAAGCCTTACCTGCCATTTGCAGCATTTCGAGTCAGCCTTTCCAACACTGCAGACAGTGGCCATCCCTCTGTAGAACTTCTCTAAATAGATCCTCCAAATCCTTTAACTGCTTTGCTTAAATATCTAATCTTTAGACCTCTCCCTACCCTTTTTTGGACATAACTCAGTTGGTCAATATTACTCTTAAAAGTGGTGCCCAGTAAATACCCAAACAATTAAAGGCAGGATCTCAAAGAAACTCACACTTGTATTAATAGTACCATTATTCACAGTAGCCAAAGATAAACTCAAGAGTCTACCAACAAGTGAATAAACAAAAAGTAACTTAAATATATAATGGAAGTCAACTTTAGAAAGGGAGTCAATACACGCTACAACATAGATGAATGTGGCAGCAGTCACTATACTAGATGTAGTTAAGCAATAACAAAAATCATAGACACATGACAACAACACATACAGGAGGTACCTGCAGTCTTCAAATTCAGAGACAGAAAGTAGAATGTTGGCTGCCAGGTGCCCAAGAGGGAGGAAAGGGGAAAAAAGGAGTTGCTATTTAACAGGCTTAGTTTCAGTTTTGCAAGATGAAAACTTCCAGAGATTCTTGCATAACAAAACACATGTACTGAACACTACTAAGCTGAAAAATGGTAAGGTAAGTTTTATGGTATGTGTCCTTTACCACAATTTTGAAAAATAGTCCCAGAGCTGAAAGGAGCCCTCAGCTGTGCTAAGGTTAGTGCTGGATATGCAAGCACTATGGTTTTTCTTTCATTGCCAAGCTCCAACATTTCTCGAAAGGAGCCTCAGACTGAGCCCTACCCTTCTTAGCAGCCAAACAGCACTCTTAAGGCTTATTACATGTGTGGTCTAATAAAGATTCAGAGTCCCTCTTCACATGAGTTGTGGCCAAACCACGGTGAAATTGTGTAGCTGAATTCTGTAGCTTTTATCTGGCTTTTCAATGCATAACATCATCATCTATCAGAAATTAAACTTTCAGCTTCATAGTCATTCTCAGTTTCCTGTGCCTTACCTTTACATATTTTCAGAATAAAAAGTCTTTGATAGTACTCTAAAATCCTTTCAGACTGATGCTGATATATAAATCTGTGTGCCAATAAACTTAATTATGATTAATATCTAAAGATCTGGAAATTTATATCATGCTGATAGTTCTGTACTAATGCTAACATTTCTTTATCCTTTTTTAAAAACTCTTAGCATGAAACAATAAAATTAACTATTTCTCTTTCAATGAAAACTTAAACAGGAGCATTGTGATCATTCACTTTTGGTATTCTTTATAACTTCGAACTATTTGTTTGCAAAAACTAAGAGCAAGCAAGATGAAAAGGTGCTCACGGTGTGCACTGGATTGTGGTACTTTCCAAACCCAACCTGTTCCTGGAAGTGTAATTTCCAGAATCTTTTAGGAGATGAAAAGGCTTGTAAGAGCTCAGTCCCACTTCACAATTATAGAAAATTGTTGGTGGCATTTAAATCGATCAATTGTACAAATGAACCAATTTGGTTTTTTTTTTTTTTTTTTTTTAAAAAGGATGAACAGTTACAGCAGAAGTTCGATGACTCGTCACTCAGGTGTCATCCACAAAGCAGGCATCAGCACCCCGAGAATGAGCGCAGGTGAGTCACTTCTAGTTGTTTGGAGAATGCCAATTTAACAGCTACTTACACCTGGGATTTGCCATTTTCAAAAAATACCTAGCCATATGAAAAGAGTTTTATAAGCAAGACCATGCTTCCTCACCCCACAAGTCCAATAGAACTATAAAAAGTCACAAATATTTGTTCTTAACTCAAAAAGTAAAATGAAGATATTAATCCTATGGTTGCTAGAGTTTTGTATCTTGGGTTTTTGGTGACTTCTGTGATTGGTTAAAGGAGATGTGGACAAATTACTCTGAGAGTGACCATGACACAGAAGTGGGTAAAATTATAAATATTTGAGCTCAAGGCAAAACTAAAGCAATGTTTAAATTGAGCCATAGAAAAATCACTTTTGATAATACAAGAAATTCATGGTTTCAAAAAATTAATTCAGATTCTTTGTGTATGTAAAGCTTTAATTTTTTTCTTGAATAAATAAACTTGTGGTGTGGAGTTGCTGTAGGAGCTATCATTTTAACCCGATCTTTAATGTCTCAATTGTAACCATAGATTTCTTTTTAAATGCAGAATTTCTAGTATCATGGAAAAATGGGACGAACCCATGGCAATAGTTATGCATGCAGATATGGTGCCTCCCATGGGAGGCCTGACCAAGTCACCAAGGTGGTAGTGGGGGCGCAGGAGGTCAACTTGCAGGATGCAGGAGCACCCTTTGAGTGTGGTGCAGGTGCAGAAAGACATCCTGCCCACAGAAAGCTTGCATTCTCTGTAGCGCTCAAGCAAGGAAACAGGCAGTACACTTTTAAAGGCAATTGTGCATGTCCTTTCTCTACAATTTGAACCTTTTTTACTCATTGGCATGAATAGAGGGATCAGAAAAAACAGGAAGACTACCATCTTTTTCATGACTTTAACTGACAGTGTCATCAGTCCTTACAGATATATTCTTTATAGTGCTCCCCTGTGTGTGCTGTCCCCATATTTTTGGCACCTGGCACCTTCCCTAGCATATAAATATTTTCTCCAACTTTTTATAATGGACATTCTCTAATATAGGGAAATTTGGAAGAATTCTTCAGGGAGCACCAGTATACTGCCCAGATTGTCTCCTTAACACCTTCCTATTGCTTTGGCATACAGTTCATCTACCTCACCATGCTTTCTTATCTGTCATTTTTATGTGTCCTGAAGTTGCAGGCATCACCTGCCATTATAATTGGTTCTATATGCACATAAGTGACTTTGAGGGAATATTTATCTATAATCCCTTTCTTTTTTAATATATGATGAAATACACCAATCTTAAATATACCAGTTAATGGATTTTGATGAATACATGTACCCCAACCCCCAACAAGATTGAGAGCATTACCTCACCTTCAGTAGAACCTTAAGAGCATCCCTAACAATCTCTCCCTCTCCCCAAATCATATTTGTGATTTTTTTTTTGCCATAGACTGTTTTTGCCAGTTGTAGAACTTCATATAAATCAATCCATATAGGTTAGAGTCTGTGCATCTGGCTTATTTCACATCATGATTTAAAAATATATATTATCTGTCTTGCCACCTGCAACTGTTCTCAATCACTGTTGATTAGCTGATTTTTATCAGTTTGATTAGCCAGAGATTTTCAGTTGACTCAATGATTTTTTACATACAGTCAAGTTGAATGGCTCGTCTTAAGCCCTTTGGGGATTCAAGACTGCTTTTTTAAAAAATGTATTTTAGTACAGGGTCTACAGGGTCTCACTACACAGATCAGACTCCTAGCGACCCTCCTGTTTTCAGCCTCCCAAGAGCTGGAATTACAGGCATGCACCACCATGCCTAGTCTCAATCGCTGTCTCAGTGTGCCCTGGGGGTGGAGCCAGCACAGCACAATGGGGATAGAACCCGGTCTCTGACTAGACTGCTATTTCTTGAAGACTTAGTAAAGGCAAGACAAGTTTTTTGGATAAACAGAATGAAGGATGGATTTTTTTTTAACATAAAGTAAGAAAGTTATCCAACGATGGCTGCGATTTGAGCATGTGGCATGGGCAAAACAGTAACTGGCCAGGAGCCTTTCCTTTTCCCTCAGGCATGTGTATGATGCATAAGTGGCAGTTTTTCACAGAACATTTTCCTGGGGCATTTGCTTACAGCTGGAAGGTGAGGCTCAAAGGCAGCTAATGCGTAGTGGGGGAATCTCCACTTTTGAGCCCTCAGCCACAGTTCCTCATTCCCTAGGGTGAGGGCTGAGGAAGTGGCAGATAGAGCTTCCACTCCATGGCCATTACCCTCAGGTGACTGGCTTTCTGGGGGAGTCCCAACTCTGGAAGAGCCCCAACTGAAATTTTTCAAAAGAATCCCCCATTGCCCGCAATCCTCTCCTCTAAAAGGGGTTCCCAGGCTCAGAAAGGGCGAGGGACTCTGCTATGAGAACATGTTAATTTTGTGTTTCAGTATTTTATTAGTGTCACCTCCCCCACTAATCCTATCAGAAACCTAGCCTCTTTCCTGATCCTCATCTGGACTCCATCGGCTAGTGGACGGGAGCTGGCCCTGGCTCATGTGGCGCCCAGAGCACTACCAGAGGTACCTGCCTTCCTGGGCTAAATCAGGTGGTTCCACAGAAGCTTCAAGAAAGCAGAGACTCCTTCTTGAGTGTGTGGGATACAGGGCACAGATTTAAAAGGGGTTTCAACTCACGGAGCTTCAAGGATATCAATATTTTGTGCTTTTTGCTCAGTACTGTTAGGAAGCACCATAACTGGGTGACTGGGGGGTAGAAGGGGGGGCTGGTGTTTATACAAACTTAGGCCAGAATTTAAGATTACTGATTACTGGATGCCTTGCATGTTGGGTAATCTGGGGAGGGGGCACTAGAACTGCAGCAAGGGACAACTCCCAGGTGGCTGCTGCCTCCACCAGCTAACATGACCAGTTGTAAGTCCGTTCTGTTCTTGGCTACCTCCCTCCCCAAATAACCGATTTTCTCACGAATGACCAAAATGGGGCCTATTTCTATTAAGAAAGCATCTTTCTCAGGTGCATTTTCTTAGCTATTCAAATACAGAGATTCCTAAGCCAACCTTGGTAGCTTTGAAGCAGAGTAAAGAGATCAGTTAGCTGCTTTTATCTTCTAGAGTATCTGGTATGGAAAAGGTCGTAGTTTTACTTCTCATGAAATGCAGTAAGCAGATTACTACAAATACCTGCCTTTTCACGTGCTCTTAACTTGGCAGTTGAAACTTATTTTCCCTTGACCCAGTCCACCTCATATCCTAACAGTCTACGAGGGCTAGAGTCCCAGAGGCGTCTGAGTAGCCGCGCTTTTCTGCAGGACATACCTAATATGAGGGCTAAACCTCTTCCCACCCCTTTTAAGAAAATGTCTATTTTCTTAAAAACCTCCCCTTAACGCTGGCTGACAGAAGCTTCAGCTGGCCGGCGGGTTTCCTTTGACCTTGATTATGACCAGGGGTGTCGCGGCTAATTGGAAG